TCCCGTGAAGGGCATGAAGCTTCCGTTCTTGCGGGCCACCGATAGATTAGAAACGGAAGACGAGTGCACGCGATGCTTAAAATGGTGGCCCGCAGTGCAAGAACGGTTTAAGCTCCTTCAGTCCTTTTCGGACGCGATTCGCGATGAATGTGTAAGGTTTAAACTGTAGAAGTCTAGATGTGATCCAGGTCCTAACTTAAATTAGGCTCCAACAGCAAGAAGCTCTTGTCCAAATCTTAAGTAGGACTTGAATACAGCTTCGTAAGGACACATATCGATCGGAATTTCGATCATGGTTTAGGATTTACGAGGGATTTACCTGGAAACGTATTTCCAGCTAGGGCTTGGCTAAGACATACCTAGCATTCAGATAAACACTAATAAGGACATAACTATATGTTTATCTTAAGCTAATAGAGCCGCGATGAAACTACATGTCCCTTGGGTTTCTACTGTTTTTTCTTCGTTGAAACTTGGTCATATTCTAAATGGGTGTCATCAAACTCCTCTGGAAGGAATTTCTATTCCTAAGCTTGCAGACCTCCTCAAGTTCTCCAAGAAATGTAAAAACAATGGCAGACCCTGTGTGAGCACTGCTCAAGATCTGGAGCAATGGGGGCCCGACATGTCGGTTTTTGTTTGTTCGAAAACTCACGCTTTCTCACACGCTTTCAAACATGCATAAAAAGAAACGAGTTGTCCGGAAAACAAAAATGAGAAAAACAAAAAACAAAAAAACGAGCAAACAAAACAAAATGGCGACCCCGTGTGTTGTTGGCTGGTTGGGAACTCGAGGTGGTTCACCCTTTTACAACCACAAATCTTGGACACAGCGCCCGAAGCAACAAAATCAAAAGGGCAATGCAGCGCCTTCCAAATTGTCAAAAGCCCAGTCCCGCATGAGGGGCCGCTCTCTTCCCAAGGAAACTTCACCATGGAATTCTGCCCGGTATAACCAGCGAATCGGCGAGCTCGAAGGCAAAAAGACAGGCGTCGTATGGCTGCATGGCCCGGGGTACACTGAAAATCCATATGGCAAGACTCCGTTTCATATCCATCCCATCAAGTTTAACCTTATATGGGTATGGGTCAAAATTAAACCACCAGGAATTGGACCGCTGGTTTTTCCGTCCTTGGTTCCATTTCCCAGGGCGCAAGCTATTTAGGGGTTAGCCTATCGTTGACCGGCCATTTTGGAGACCAGTCCTTCCACTTGTTGCGGAACTCCGCGAGGAAGTGGCTGAAGCTGGCAAAGGTCTGTTGCAGGGTCACCGCCAGCGGGTCCCCGGGTGGAAGCTCCTGGGGCTTCGTGGGGGTTTTTTGAGGGGGGATGAAAGGCCCGCGCTGACAAGGATTTGGATCCTCTACCCTTGCAATGACAGAGCAATGCTTGATCCTTAACGATCTAGTAAAGTGAATCTTTCCCCGGCGGTCAGACCCCTCTCTCCATTGGAAGTGGCTGCCGCCGCTCCTTCTTCTCCTTCTTCTCCTCTTTGGATGACGACGACTCCTTCGAGGCTGTGTGAACATGACCCTTCCGCCGCCCAAGTGGGTGATTCCCATGACTGCTTTCTCAGTTGCCCCTTACAAATCCAGAGCTAAAAGGTGAGCACCTCTTGCAGCCATGACTAAAGCGGTTGCCAAAATTGGGGGGAAAACCGACTTTGGTCAGATCCAACCAATTCCCTTGGGTGAGTGAGCTTTATGACTTAAGGGATGCTTGTCGCCACGAGAAGGTGGTTGAAGATGGCACACCATCTTCAACCAAGCTCTTTCCGCCGGGTGTTTTCTTGTTTTAATGAACACCGGCCAACGGAAATCAATGATTGCTGTTTTTCTTCAGCTTTTTTTTAATGAACACCGGCCAACGGAAAACTATGATTGTGTTTGTTCCTCTCTTTTTAATGAACACCGGCCAACGAAAACCAACGATTGTTTGTTTCTTCTCTTTGTTTCAATGGAAACCCGGCCAACGGAGATCATTTTTTGTTTTTTTTTGTCTTCTCTTTTCTTTGTTTAAATGGAAAACCTGCTTCCTTTTGGTTAAACAAATGGAACACCGGCCAATCAGAGAATTTCTCATCGAAGACTTGCCGAATCATCTCGGTCCTTCTTCTCCGCCACCTGCGGCGCCGGAACCGCGCGCACCTGGCGCATTCGATCTGACCGGATCTGAGGACGGGGCATCAGCTGGCGTCAGGTTGGCTTGGGGGGGGGGGGGCAACCAACGCAAAACCCCCCCCCAAAAAAAGAGACGCACATGAAAAGGGGTCGATTTTTTGACACATGCTCCAAAAAGGGTCTGGTAAGAATGGAGAAAAGATATCTGGCCCGAACCCTTTTTGAATCCAATTTGGGCAGCTTTAAAAAAAAGTATGAGTTGTGGAGCAGCCGCGCGCCAACTGGGCGTGTCAGCTGGGCCCCTTTTTGGAAAGGGAAACCAGCTGGAGTCATTGGAACCCTGTTTTGAGGCGCTAGTGGCAAATAAAAAAACAGGAGGAAAGCCGAGCTGGATGGTGAAGCCATGGGGTCTGGAACAACCCGGCGGGTGAAGCCACAAAAAACGGGGAACTTCGGAACAGCGGACCTAGCAGCGCCCAAAGAACGCCCAAAAAACAACCATGGATGCCCAAAGGCAAACAAACTCTCTGAGGTGCAAATCACTGCACTGGGACTGTGAACGGGTGTGTTCCGTGGCACGTGTTCCACTTGAACCTTTTGAGCAGTGATCCCAGCGAATTGAAAGGGACCACTCGGTTGCTTTCTGCTCTGCTAAAAGTGGAAAACTGCGAGCGGTTGAGTGGGAAACCCATTAGTTGGCAGAAAGTTAAAGTCCTGGCATCCCTTGGCAACATGCGCCAAAGGTACCGTTTCTCTTTCGGCGAAGCTCAGACTTGGAGACCTGAAAAGAGATGACTTGCCGCAGGCCGTCTCGAGCTTTTGGATCAAGGATCCGTGTTCACATTCCCCAGGGTCGATTTTGCAGGGATGTGATTTTCACAAGGTTGAGGACATCATGGAAAATCACATGACCTGTTGGGGGGTGCAAAAAGGGATGTGAACTAGTTCCTCGATTGAAGCAGCGTCGTGTTGTAACTGCGCATAGGGACTGAGCGAGGGTTAAGCTGCTGGCTTCGATTCCTGGTGCACAAGAGGGCAAACCCGGTTCACCCACGAAGTCCTGTTCTAGCGGCCTGTCTCCAGTTAGTTTTGTGGGGACCCTCTAGGATTGTGGCCATCTAAATAATGTCCGGCACGTCAGCATCACATCCAAAGTTGCCAATGTCCCTCTACCATCTACAAAAACCATGGCCGAAATCCAAAGAACGATATGTGAAAGAACCCCCCCAACTGCCGTCTGAACCTTGCGACCCAAATGCAACATGCAGGGTGTCACTAGGTTTCCTAGAAATAAGTTGCAACTTCGTGGTGTCATTGAACATGCCACTTTTGGAGGTTCCCAGGAAAGCCTGAAATGGTCCAGCCCCAACAAACATCCTGAAAAGAAAGCAAACAAACCTACCAACAAACCCATGAACCCCCCCCATCAAAAGACATGATCTCCCCAGAACCCATGCAAACCCATGCAAACCTTGGTTGCTGTTGACCCCCCTGCAAAAAGCTTAACTTTTTGTGGGTTTAGTTCGGAAAGCCCAACTTGATTTCCACCAAAAAGTTAAAAAAGTCTCAAGATCCGATACCCAATAGCAGTCAAGAAACCCATGACCCCCCCCATCAAAGACATGATCTCCCCAGAACCCATGCAAACCCATGCAAACTCCCAGCCCCAAATCTCCGATTTCAGGCGCCTCCACGCCGAAGTGGTCCAGCATGGCCTTGGCGCACGCCTCCGCCTCTTCGAACTGCTGCTGTAGCAGCGCCAGCCGAGCCTCGACGAGAGTCGATCCATGACGAGCCATGAGGATCCGTGCATGGGTGCATAGGTGCCTTTTTAGAAAAATCGATGGCCCTGGATGCGAGAAACCCCTATCTTCTTAGGTCCCCCCCTTTTTGTTGACCCATGCCCATTGCCCCCTTGGAACATTCTATTCCCCCAAAGGACGTCGAGTCGTCGAGTCCCTAGAGCTGTCGTGGAAAAACCCTTCAAAAGGCAAATTGCTTGTGGCTACAAGTGGGGGCCCTTTGGTGGACATTATGGTGGGGATTCATGTCCACCAATCACTTTTGAGGTGGTTGTTTTATGAACATTCCACAGTGGCAAAACCAAACTTGCCATGTCCAGACTGAGGACGGGTCCCGAAGGGTGTGTCCAGCTTCCATACCGCGAAATTGTAGCTTCGGGAGCTTGTGCTCACGGGATGCCAGAAAAAGGATGTCTACTGTTCACCGCATATGAATCAACCCCCAATTTGTTAGGGGGGTGTGCCAAGTGAAATGTGGGGAATCAGACAACTTTTAAAGGAGAACACCCCCCTATTGATTTATGAACTGGGGTTGATCGATCCGGGGTCAACATGATCTCTATGTGAGTGACTGAAGCACTTCAGGTCCAACTTGGGTGCCTTTCTCCTGGATTGAAACATCTGACATTTCCAGTGACTCAAATGGCAGGTGTTTTGCAGACGTGGTTGGACTCAAACTTTACAACCCCGGTATGGTAGCAAAAAAGGTGTTTGTTTAGCAGCCCTCTACTAAAAATGAACCGAACCAAAGCACCAAGTAACAACAAACTTGCCAAGAACAGTGAAGGACAGCTTGACCAACAAATCCTTGTCGAAAGGGCAACCCGAAGTTGTGCTTATTGGTCGGCTTCGGACAAACGAGGTGTTCATTGGTGGGATTGTGAAGCTTTGTGGGGGGACAGGTGGGAATGTGGCCGCTGGCTCAATGCGCACGCCAAATATATTTAATGATTCAACCTGTGCTTTCTTCAGACACCACCTTTATTGTCGCAGAAACCCGGACAACCCTACAGGTACTAAAGGCAAGCGGGAACAATACTGAGCTTTCCTTTTCCTTCCTTGCCTCAGGCAGGTTTAGCTTACGCAGCCAACATCGAAATTGAGTTTCATAATGAACATCCCCTATTAATAAAAACCCCTGTTTATCAATATGGGGGTGTCCAACTGAATTTAGTCGGGATTGTTCACTCTTGGAGGGGCCCCCACCCCGCTAGTAGCAAACTGAGGTTGATTAATAGGGGGGCAACATTACCTTCAAACACAGAATCCTGGCGGACTCAAACTAAAAACCGGGCCACCTGAAGGGCTCTCAACACCCCAAGAACCCCGCAGAGCACCTGGCGTCTGAGGGGGGGGGGGTGACCACCTTAGGTGTGACCTGAGAAAAACAGAATCCAGCTGTTTCACAAAGGCCAGGCATTTGTTCAGCCTCTCGCACGAAACAACAAAACACAATCCATGGACAATACCCTTCACCAACCTTCCATTTGCTAAAGCCCCGCAAAAAAAATAGCCTGAAGCAATCCTTAAGCAACCCCTTAAAACCAGAGGAAAATCAACACATCTTCTCCAGCAAATGGGAAGCGCCCCGAAACCGGACCGATTTAATCCCACGCGCCCGCGCGCCCGTCCGCGCCTTCACGGGGCAGAGGAGGATCCAAGCGCGGGCCCGCAGGTCTGGGGTCCTCGCAGCGGCTTCGAACGACCGAAGGCCCCGAAGCGAAGGCTCTCACGTCAGGTTGTCTCTTCTGGAACGACCAAAACTATGTCCTCCAGTCACTAGAGAGGTTAGAATAAGGGTAACGTCATTTTTTCTGCAGTCTATTTTAGTATAGTTTAGTAGGGAAGTCCTCCCCCAAAAAAGGGTACCTAGGAAAGCTCTCAGAACTGCAGGTCTCCACTTCCGTGGGTTGGCGAAAACAGTTGTGGATTCGACGGCTGGAACACACGGCCGTACTGATTGAAACGCCAGCGGAGGTCGCAACTCCGTGCCAGTGTCACAAGTCCTGCAATTCTTCTTTTCAACCAGCCGCCTGCTTGCTGCTTTTCTGGCAATCCTAAACAATGAATGGACATGACCACTTTTGGAGGTTTCTGATTCAACACGAAGACGGGACATTTATGGTTGATTAGCAGGTGGTTCCATTTTCGCTTCTTCCTTTCGAAAGAACACCGATGATTCTGCCAAGTGGGCTCATCAGGGATCAACGGCTTTTCTGGGCTTGGTGGCTGAAACCAATTCGCCCCTGGATTCAACCCCTTGGAGGCCAATGGCGAACCTTCGGGAAATGCTACAAGATGTAGCAGTGGGTCAAAAATATGTAGCCAAAATGGAACCTTGGTAAATGTAAACATGGACTGAAATCTGCGGTCCCTGGGGGTGTAATTTTGACCCATGCCCATATAGCCATTGTAACTCATGGGAAATCCAAAAGCTCATACCCTGCCTTGTCCGCTTGTCCGGGCTGCACGTCCGTTCGGACGCACTCTCGCAGTCCTGGCCAGTCCCCAGGCTCAATTGCAAACCATGTGGCTGTGGGTCAGAAATAGGCTAACCCCAAAATGGCTTGCCCTGGTAAATGGAACCAATGACTAAAACCTGCGGTCCCTGGTGGTTTAATTTTGACCCATACCCAAGTACTGCAAACAGCGCCTCCCAGCAATGGATTTTGAGACTCGAACAAAGGATCTATGGATGCGCAACCCGCTCCCTACCCCCCCCCCCCCCAATCAAGTTGGCCTTTCAAATGATGGCCGATATAAAGTGAACCAAACAGGGAACCCCCAAAGAAGCCCAGATGCGGTCGTTGCGCCTTGTCACTCGTTCCCCAAAATATCTCTCCAAATAAGCAACAACCCCGGACCGTTGCGGGTGACTTTTTAAGGGGGAACCCTCACGAGGCGGAGAAGCCTCCGCACCACTGGAGGTCTGGTAGAAGCTCCAAACACGACGGGCTGAACAATTTGGGAGCCGCTAAAACGATCTTCCAAAAAAAGGAAGCAGTGTCCAGAACACGGCCAGACTTAGACCCAGGCCAAAATTAACCTTTCGGTAGATGAAAAAGATTGAAAAAGGACAATGATCGAAAGCATAACATGGTTTTTCAAAAAGTCTTGGTGAGCTACGTCATGAAAACTTGAGACAGCCCAGAAAAAGCAGTCCATCCAACTTCTCATATCATTCCAGGTTCAGCCAACGGCAACGCATGCATCAAGCTCCCCTTCGAGGTCGCCTTCTCCTCATCGCTGCCGCAAGACGCTTCTGGCAGACCGAAGACGTTGGTCACCTGCGCCTCCAGGCCCTTCAGGTTTGTTCTCCTAAGATGGGTATGGGTTTTGGTCCATGTTTCCATTTACCAGGATTCCATTTTGGGTACATACTTTTGACCCACAGCCAGATCCAAGCCCTGGCGTCGCCCTTCCGAAGCGGTGACAAAAGACTCCGTTGCTCTGCCCAGCCAGGGCTTCTGCAAAAGGCTGAGCTTTTGGGGGCAAAAGAGTGGGACACGACAAGAACACCGAGGCGAACTCTAGAATTGACGAATGGGAAACCAAAAAAAAGAACAGCGACATCTTGGAGCTGTTGGACCTGTTGGACGGCTGGGCGACTGAAGGCCCCTGACGAGTGGCAAATAATGGTGAGTGATTAGGGGCCATTCAGGCACGTGGAGGGCTAACCTTCGGCGCCTGATGATTGGAAAACAGATGGCGCAGCCAGTCACCCAGGGTCTTGGTTAGTGGCCACGTCAAAGGTCTGCAAAGTCCATAGTTCCAAAAAAGGATCACACCCCCAACTCCTATCTGAAAGTCGCTTTCTGCCATTCCATAGTTCGAAACACCTGAAGCCGGAATTGGACCCCACGGGCCCACACAACATCGCCCCAGATCGAAACCGAGAGTCAGCAGCTGGATCGCCTGCTTCACCTGCGAGCTGAGATAGCAGAGGCCCGAAAACCCCAAAAGAGTAAAAAACCAAGAACTCAGAAAGTGAGAGCATACCTCTATTTCACCGAAATCGCCGGGGCTTTTGTGGTTCTGCTTGATTTACTTACTTGCTTTAATGGCATCCACTGTGGGGAAAATGATGACTATCCACTCATGTTGGCGTCCCTTGAGGGTAAACTTGACACATGGGCAACTTAGCACCTTGATTTGGGGGGGAACCCTGATAGCTGTGCCTGGCTCGCCCCAGGTGGCTTGGAGGTTTCCTGTTCTTTGCGCCTTTGAGCCAGTTGAAGTATCCCTTTCCATGTGGGTTGCTGAATGGGATAGCCGTCAGCCATCCCATGGCCTTCTTGAAGGAACACCACAATCTTTGGCTTATCTGGCTGGCGCTTGCAAATCTCCAAGTTGCTCATTTGCTTGTCGGGTCGCGGTTGAAAAGTCGAATTCCCGGGTTTGCGATCAGTCCCTCAAAAGCCACTCAAACCACCGCTCTCTTCTAACACCTCTTTTTCCGCCACCACTTCTGTTTGGGTCAGTTTTTTGTCAAAAAAAAGGTTGTTCAACCCACTCACTTGTTCAACACGCTGGGGAGTCGAGCAAAAGACACTGGGCCCTTAGTGACATCCGCAAAGTAAATTGGACCTCTGACAACGCGACCACGGACCCACTGCGGACGCACTTCTAGGGTCCACGTTTCGTTGCCTCTGGGAATCTACAACGGTTCGTTTCCACCGCATCCCCTGGCGAAACTCTCCATCTCTCTTTCTTTTTGGTCCGTTGACCCCAGAGACACACACATGCTAGCCATGTGCTTGCAGAACTCCTATAGGCAGCCGCTAAACCGCTCCCGATTCAATAGAAAAACATGGATACCTCTAGGGGCAGCTTCCATTTCCATTCTGATTCCAGGGAAGCGAATCTTTTCAGGAAACCATCCAAAAGCTCAGGGGAAACAGATCCGGTTTTGAAGAAAATAACGATGGTTGAAAAGAATGGGGAATCAACCTCTAGCTCCTAAACCGCTCCCTATTCAAAGAAAACATGGATACCAGCTCCAAGCCCGGCCCCCTTACCCAGCAGCTAGTAAGTTCCAAAAATCGCCGCAGTCATGTGTCCTTTTGGACAAATCGATGGGTTTCCCTTGTAAATTGCATAAAACCCAGCGAAACAAGTGCCTTCTATTTTTAACGCATTCCCGACCTTGACTGGCCCCATCACTTTACCATCAAAGTCACCCCCCCAATAGGTTGAAGGGAAACACCCAACCAGTTGCTGACTTTGAGACAACTTCTGTTCGCGTTTTCGCCACCTGGAAAAATATATTTCCTGCAGTGGTATTATAAAGCCAACAGGGAAAATAAAACATATTCGTTTCAGCAAATGGAAGTTGACAGCCCCAAGAAAAAGTCGAAACAATGACCAGCCCCACCAAGGGACACCCACCTTTCAACCACCAAAAAAGGTGATCGTTTAAGACCGCCAAGGGATTTATAGGGACCCCCAGCTTTCCGCATTCCCCGAGGTGCCTCATCCAAGCGCTGCTTCCGTCCGCGCTCCAGGCATGAGAGCTCCGCCTCAAAGCGCGCCGGGGTCCTGCGAACGCAGCCCCAGGGTCGGGAGTGGAGTTAGAACCATTGTGTTTTGTTTATTGATAATTAAAAACTGGGCTGCCCTCGGATCCCCCGTTAAAAGTTTAGTGGGATAAATGGAAACTACCACTAAACACTAAAAGGCTAAAAGCCTAACGGGATGGCTGGGAGCCACCAAGAAAAACCATGCATTGTCTTTGTTTGTTTCTGTTTATACTTACTATTTTCATGTTGTTTCCTAAAAACAAACTACTTCCGGCTTTTATACTAAAACAACCACCCGAGGCGTTGTCTTTTGTTAACTAAAAGCCCATGGGTTTGTGTGAAGATCATGACCCAAATCTTCAATTCGCTCCGCATTCCTTTTGGGTTCCTTTTGCATTGATCTGCGAAAAAACACTTTCTTTGGCGGGGTCAAATTCGGAAGCCCCACCACGAAACCAACTAAGAACAGCTGAACCCCTAAGGAGCCGGATGGCCGGGCTTACCGCCAAGAACGGTGAACTAGGGATCCACAGCGGTTCGGGACCGAACGGAGGTGGAAACGGTTCGGCCTTTCCCTTCACGGATGCGCGTCCAAAATAGCTGGGCGACGATTTGGAGGAGACTGTTGGAGCTAGCCAAGTTGTTAGCCACCCCCTTTTAATCCACCAGTCACTGAGTGCAACCCTTGCAACCTTTGCGGGCCGTGGTTTCTATGAAATTAGATAAGTGCGAGTCAATCTCAGTAGCAAGCCCATGTCGGATGGTGACAAATTGCCCAATGGGCCCCCTTCTTTTCACATTCTGACTTGGAGCCCCCCACGTAGTTGGACACCTCCGTGCCACGCATTTTTTCCAGTGTCGCCCCACCTTGGGCCAATCCGAAAGCCACGGGGCACCCCGCGGGCCACGTGCAAAAAAATATCTGGAGATCTCTGCAACCGCCAACCATGTGGAGGGTGCTTTTTGACCTCCATTTGCTTCAGACCCCTGGGAAAAATAAACATGTTTCCAGTAGTGACAGATCCCCTTTTAAACCATCAGGGGGAAAAACAACTTGAGCCAATGGAAGTTGATGAAGCACCCCTGACGGGTTCAACGCACCTGTCCGTGCCCATCGATTTTGGAGCCTGTCCCAGCAGATTATCAATTTGCAAACCTGAATTGAGGGATCCTCATCATGGACATACACGGTGAGCTCGCCGTTGCTTGGTCGCTGTCAGTTTTTAGCAATTTGTGGGTCCAAGGGAAAATCCGCGGCTACCCCCCAAAAAAAAGTCCCGAGATCCAACCTAATAGCCATAAGGATAGAATAGGCAAATCTCCTTCTTGGAACCAAAGGACGCCTTGGGCGGCCCGAGCGGCGCGACAGGGCTCCGCTCCTGTCCGGGAACTTCAGACGCATCTGCTTCACCATAAAGTGCATCAGGCACATGCCCTGCTGCATGCCTAGCCCGACGCCTGCACCAAAGGCTGGGCGAAGTGTCGAAAACCCGGGGACACCATGACTGGGCTGCCCTCAGATTCCCTACTAAAAACTTAACTTTTAGTGGGTTGCATGGAAACCCCCACTAAACACCAAGAAGCTCACAAGCTAAGGGGATGGCTTCGAGCAACCAAGATGAGACCTGTTAATTTTGAGGGAATTCGTGTGAGAAACCGATCAGCTCTTGGAATGGACCTGGCCTTGGCTAAACGAATCCTCCGAAATGGTTAGTGGACATAGGTCTCCATACGTTATGTCCAAAGAGACCCCAAAACTACAAAAAAAAAACATACCCATTTCGACCAAGGCCTGAATAGGAAACATCAACTCAGCCAGCCCAATCACCCGGCAACCAGGGTACCTTCAGCTTTGTCCGCAAGTCACTTGATACCCGCTCAAGTTGCAACTCACTGGTGCTCCAATGAGTTGCTGCCAGTTTGACAAGGTGTCTCGGAAAATGGTAATCGTCAGACGTAGGGTGAAGATCCTTGAGTTGTTTGATCTCAAGCCAACTGCGTTTTCTGACAAGCGTTCACATGATCAATGCTAGAGCATGGTTTCAAGTATCTTTGGCAAAGAAAAAACCTTAGGTACGGGCACCCCTTGTGACCAATCGACACTGCAGAAAGGTTGATGGATCGGTTTCACAGTGATCTTTGTCTGTACTTGCAGGGCACTCCAAGAGGGGGCACCCTGAATGGGCTTCAGATTCCACTTGGCTTCCGCCGGGGGTAAAGAAAGAAACAAAGAAAGAAATGAACATATAATGAAACAAACAAAGAAAAACACAGAAAAATATAAAAACAAAACATATATTTTTTACAGGAAGAAAGAAGGAAGGAAGGAAGAAAGGAGGGAAAGAAAGAAAGAAAGAAAGAAAGAAAGAAAGAAAGAAACAAAGAAAGACGGAAAGAAAGAAAGAACAAAAGAAAGACGGAAAGAACGAAAGAAATAAAGAAATATAGAAAGAAATACAGACAGGAAAAATAAGGAACACAAGTACAGAACACAAAGCGGAAATCAATACGCACTTTACCAGAAACAACCAAATCCACTCACCCCCAAAACGCGCTCGTCGCCTTCCGTGGAGACGTAGAGCTTGTGCTCTGAGAGCTTGGTGAGTTGCTGAACCTCGAAGAAGGAGGTCACGGAGGCATCGGTCTTGATATCCTGAGCTGGCGGCTCAACTCACTTCCTGAGTGTGAGGGTTGTTTGTATCACTGTATTGCACACTGGGATTACACCCTTGGGAAATGACCCAGACTGGCTCAAACTTACACGATGTTTTATCCGGAAAAATGGCTAAATGGGGTCAATACCCATTGGGTGTATTCCCAGGGTGTGATGCAAAAACCCTTAGACTGAGTGGATTTGCCAGAAGAAGTCTAAACTTTTTGCTTACCACTAAATTGATCCTCCCAAAAAGCTGTTAAAGTCCAGGTGTGCCGCTTGCGGTCAACACTTCTTTTGCTCCTTTTGCGCGTTTCGCCTGTGACCATCGCAGCGTGTGCATTTGTTCTCCAGGTCTAAACTGTTTCTTCTGTGGGTCTTGGTCAGTGGTTGGCCATGCTGCCCATGGCACTGGGTCAGGGTTGTGGGAAATGACCACTTCTGTGATACAACGAAAGGGCTTCCCAAAGACTAACCCCCGCTGGACCAAGGGGGGGACTCCAACTTGTATCACAGAAGTGGGTGGATAAACCCCGAGGGATCCCACAACCCTGCACTGGGTTGTCCACAACCCCTCTTGACCAAACAAAAACTGCCAGGTACCCCGGCAGTTTGGGCCATGGCAATGCAGCACTTACGTCACCATCAAAACAGGAACCGTCTGGCGAGTGAATCCTTTATGGGGGTCGCTCCGCAGCTTTCCAGGAGAAATCTGGCGAGTGATTCCGTTTCTTCTTTTTTTTTGTGTGTGTGTGTGTCTTTTTCTTTTTTCTCGAACAACAGCAACAACATCAACATGTTCTTTATGGGGTTCGTTCCCGAGAGCCAGCCAGATTTCTCCTAAGAGGCCCGTTCCGAGTCTTTGGGCCAAAGCGCCTCCGCCGTGGTGCCGGTGTTCAGGTAGGTGCAGGCCACCAACGTCACCGCCAGGAATTGCCTCGGCGGAACGGCGCCTCCCACCCCGGCCCGCTGCGAAGGTCCGTTTCTATGAATCACAAAGGGACATAGGTCCCTAGCATCCAGTCTTCCAACCACAAAAAAACATGGGCGGGGAGAAAATGAACGTCAAATTCCAGATGCTTTTGACCTCTTCAAATTCCATTTTGAGGGGGGACGGGTGCTGAAAGCATCTGAGAAGGTCTCCTGACTCCACAAAAGAAACAAATCCGTGCGAATCCAGGTGCTGTTGTTTACACCCAAATTGGTAGGATGCATATTCCCTACCAACAGGCACCTCCCAGTTCCAATGTTTATTCCGGAATTCATAAGCCCCTAGTTGATTGTTTTTTCACGGGGTGTGTCAGGGAAGCAGAACCCTATTTGAACACCCTCCTATGAATCCTCATTGGTACATCCAGAGTCCCCGACTGAAATCAGGTCGTTCAGGGATGGGGAGACTCAATTGAATCAATTGGACATCAAAACAGGAACCTCCAGCTTGGCCCCTACAAATTAACATGCCTGCCCCCAACAAAAGCTGTCCCCCAATGGCTGGCTTCCTTTTGGCTAATTTGAGGGTCGGTGGTTGGGCCACCAGCTTCCCCAGCCCCTTGTCCACCCCGGCCAAAACAAAGTTCTTAGACTTCTCTTTGGGCCCCCGCCAAGCAAAACTCAACTGGAAAGGGTCCAAAAGCGATATTCAAAAGGAATCTAGGGCCCGGGCCCCTTCCTCTCCTTGTCACACTTTAACACCCACCCCAACTCCAACCCCACCCCCACCCACACCCCATCTTCCCGCCCCCCCATCTCCAAGCCCAACCCAACCCCCCAACCCCCACCCCCCCCCCTTCCCCCCCCGGCCCAAAGCAACCCCCGGCCCGCGCGCCTCAGCGACTCGGAGTCCTGCAGCTCGCGGCAGGCCTGCTGCACGCACGCCAGCTGCTGGCTCAGCTGGTCCATGGTCACCGGCATGGACTGAGTCAGGTCCAGCAGCCTGCGAGGCGGCATCTCGTGCGGCGTTTCAGGGAACCAAAGAAGGGATGGGAGACGTTTGTTGTCTTGGAGCTTGTTTCTTGGTGGTTTAGGGGGGGATGGAAAGCTGTTGTTGTTTCTTTGCGGCGGAGGGGAGGGGGGGATGGCAGGCGGTTTGATGTCTTTGTGTTTTTTTCAGTCAAGGCCCCAAAACGGCCACAGGGCAATAAAATGCTATACGGCAAGCAACAAAAAAGCAGCATCGCAAGCCCTAAACCTGCCAGGATTGGTCAAGATTCCGTATCTAAGCATAGGCAAGCGGCGGCAACCATCCACCAAGATCCCAGCAGGCGAGCAAAGCAACTCGATCAAAAACGATCGGCACGCCGATGGCTTTCTGCACTCAAGCGACAATCCCCTTGCGGGTGTACAGCTGCCTTGTTCTGAAATACGAAACAAGCGGGGGATACTCCATACACACACCTGCGCATACATGTCTGCACGCATGTGTAAATAATTGCAAATACATATATATATATATATATATATACATATATATATATATACGATGTATATATGTATACATATTATATATATATATATATATGTGTGTGTTCATATATTCACATACACGTGCAAATACATATTGAACGTCTGCTGCGCGATTGCCATCCAAACCATCCCAACCAAAAACGGGGCGAGATCTAGGCATTGGCGATCCACTCACGTACCAAGCCGTGCAGTCCCCTGGCCCAAATGCAAACTGGGCAGGTCTGAAGGTCTGAGCAAAGGATCTTCGAGCCTAATAAGACCATCTGCATTTTATGATGGATCCAAAACCTGAAATCCGAAATACGCGATCCCCACGTAAAGGACCTTTCCCCTGGCTTTCGCTGCGAATCGGTGGCACATGAAAGAAACTACCCATCTGATGACCTCAAATTATTGCCCCTGATTCGGATATCGTTTGCGCTGGGGTGGTTGCACGACTCAATCATGGAGCCTGCTCATTCCACTTGCTCGAAAGAGCACGCACATGACATACTTACATATCATGTTCAACCCCTTTGAACTCTACAAAAAAAGAAAAAAGAGAAAGAGCAAAATCATGCAAACAAATTCCAGGTCCTTTCCAGCTATCAAGGTGGAGCCTTGACGGCTGCTTCCAAGCCCCTCCCGCATCCACCATTGAACTTCGGAAAACCAGCAAAAGCCGCTTCCAAGGGGCCCAGTCGATCGCAAAGGTTTGCAGCAGAGAGGTCAGAATCAGGTGGTACCCAACTCTTTTCCTGTGGTCTATTTTAGTAGGGAAACCCTCCCTCCCCAAAAAAAAAGGGGGAGAGAAGGGCACTGGAAAACCCAGCTGCGCTTTTTTGAGTCGAACCGGGGCCGGACTGAACGCCTTGTCCTGGACGATAGGGAAGCCAGCCAAACCACCAAAGCCGGGGAACCACCAAAGCCGGGGTGGTGCCTAGATTGACACATGGCCAACTTGATCACTCGTTGGGGATCTCAGTTGGTATCGCAGAAGTTGGGCCCACCAATGTCCCAAAAAACCTCGGGCTGACTGACCTTTTGAACGCAAGCAAGGAGGAAATGACGGTTCAAATTATCAAACATCCGCCTGGTATGATGGGTCGGGTTTAAGCTCCACGTTCTGAAGAAAATGGTGAGGGGATGGAGGACCTTTCTGCAGAAAATGGTGGGGGGGAGGACCTTTCTGCAGAGAATGGAGGGGGGGGGAACAACAGGGACCACCCCCCATTTTGCCCATGAACTTTCACCATCCGCGGAAGCCCGCAGACCGCACCCCCAGACCGCTCCGACCGCTTCCTTGCCTGAGACGGAACTTGAGGTCTGGGATCCGGAGCAAAGGCAGTAGGGTCTCCTCCACGTTTCGGAGCTCGCCCACCTTGCGCCCGAAGGCGTGGTCCTGCGACCCCTTGAAACGGGGGCGACCCGGGCAACCGACACGCAACCCGGGCAAAATAGGTCCGGGGGGTAAAAAAAGGAGTGTGTGGAAACATGATCCCACCAAAGGGACGTGCAAAAAAAAAGGCCAAAGAAACAACAAGTTGATGTTGGAACCGCACCTCAAGCATCGCGGAAAGCACCCTTACTGGACGCTTGCAGCTGGGTGGTTTCCAAACATGCGCCGACTGAAACTAAGGGAGTCCAAGCCCCCGGAGCCTTTGGAGGGGCCAGCGGCTGTCCGGTCCTCAGATATGAATACTCCTTTTGGAACCTCTTCTTCAAGCCAGCGCAAAGCCATAGGCTCCACCCCGAGAGCATTCTTGACGGCCCCATGCATATCCCATGCATCACAGGCACCCCAAGGTTCCGCACAGCGACTTCACAAAGGTTGCGACGCCATGGTTCCTTCAATGCTTGGCCCCCAAACGGCCTTCAAACCCTATTGCCAAGGGAACAGGAGCCTCTCCAATTCCAATAGCCTGTCGGCGTGGGAGATTTCGCTGCCAGGGGCCCTTGCTTTTCTTTCTTTGTTTCGCTTTTTGCCTGGGCGGGGTTACGGTGCACAGGAGACTTCGATCCTCTTCCAGGGGAAGTAGACTCGACCGGACGCCTGTCAGATGCCATGACACCGTGCACAGGAGGCGGGAGGAGAATTCGATCCAGAAAAAAGGCTGCGCCTGTGACTCGACCGGGCCCCTGTCACAAAGCCCGGGAGTAAGGGCAGAAGAAACCACAAAGCGCCGGCCCTCAGTCCTCGAGCTCCTCGAGCTCTGCGCCAGTTGGCCAGTAGTTCACCAGCTGCTCCCAGTTCTGGCCAACGGCTCCCAGTTTGCCCCTTGTGGTCCCCGGCCAAGCAAAACGCGCCTATGGGGGGCCAAACAGGTGATCTTGAAAACCAGAAACATGAGGACAACCTGATATGAACCTAACGATGGCTTCAACACAGTAAAAACTTGTCTAGATCGGTCAATGGAAAACCCTTGATTTTGCAAAAAGTGAAAGCCTAAAGTTAAACCCAACCCAATAGCAATCAACGCAACAATCCCATGTTCGAAACACAAAAACATGTCCGAAAAAACAACCCTTCAGTTGACATGAGAAAAAAAGTCGCTGGTGATTTCGATGCGACCCGTTGAGGCAGCATTTTGACGCCTCTCTTAGGGACGGAAAGGAGCCAAGTACCCCTCCACAACCCCCCCCCCTCCCCCAAACATGCCGGTGATCAAAGACCAGGAAATCCAACCCCAACAAACAGTCACACACTCACACCCTTCAGCAAACGTGTGTAAAACAGGGGTCTGGGAAAGTGATCAATACCTCTGTGGGTTTGTTGGAGGACCAGGTGGGCGGATTCGACATCTTGAGCCCAGCAAAATGGAAAAGATGCCACTGAACGGGGGCTGCAGCCGGCCAGGCGGCCACGGGTTGCCCTGGTGGGGCAACTGGGAACCGAACCTACCATCTGGCACAAGGATCCTGCGGATTTGTTTGCTTGCACTTTTGAACATCCCTTTTGCTCAACCAAACATGGGTTGACCATCTTGAGTGGAAGATAAGGTCGCCAAACTCGCCAACTTGTCTTTTGATTTCCTTCCAACGCGTACCCCAGAACAAATGACACACCCAGCACCCCCGCAACAACCGTTTGAAGAGTACTTGCGATGTTGGACCTTGAAAAAGCAGCCAAGTTGAGACCCGGTTGGCCAAAGTGTTCCACCCACAAAAAAATGGACCTTGCTCGCTGTTCTTGGTTTTGTGTTGTTGTTTGCTTTTCCTTGTTCTATTATCCTTTTCTCGTTTTTGTTTGGTTTGCTTTTCCTTTTCTATTATCCTTTTCTCGTTTTTTTTTGGTTAGCTTTTCCTTTTCTGTTACAGTATCCTTTTCTCTTGTTTTGTTGGTTTTTATCATTTTTTTTATCATCTTTTTCGGCCTCCAGCTTCATGCCGCGCAGGTCCAGCGCCGTGGCGACCTCGCACAGCCACGGCACGTCCAACGCCCGCAGCGCCACCCCTCGGCGCTCGGCGCTCGGACGAGACGCTCCCGAGGTCTCTGGAGCGAGCTCTCTGGGCCCATTAAAGGGCCCAAAGATGTCCAAGCTTTTTTGAGTTCAGGCATCACTGCAGGAAACACAAAGCACACATGTGGACCCCTGATGGATGTTTAAAGTCGAGACATTAATCAGCCCGCACTGCGGGAGCTGCTTCCCCAGAGTGCAGGATCAGCATGCCGGCGCTTGGCACGGCTCCCAGCATGGGTTGGGTTGGAGAGGGCAGGCAAGGCAATACGTTGCCGCTCATCAGCAGCTCGAAATGGTCAAAGTCGGATTTTTATCTGGAGCACCATGCGAATCAGGGAGCTCCCCCATTTAGGCAGGAAATGTGGGTCATGTTATGAAGAATTGTGGGACTTGGCCTTGTCTGCCGGAAGTATCCGGGTGCAAAACAAGAAAGAAAAACATCATCATCATATATCGCTTGGCAAGTACCCAGAATACTCCTCTGTTTGTTGCCGTGGTTGTCAAAACCCAGGAAACCCGGATGAACATCAAAAAAAAAGGTGGTGCATGGGTGTTCCTCCGCCCCAAAATGGAGGCACAGGCCATGGCCCTTCTCGAGCCCAGGCGCAGATGTTGCGGCTCTGCTGGAAGCTCTTGAGGATCACCACGCCTACGGAGCGAGGCGGCTCTGCAACAAGCGACCAACAGCGCTCTGATGCATCCATTTGCTTAAGTCCGCTGGAAAACATACAAACATTTCCAGTAGTGATAGGTTCCCTTTAAAACCAACAGGGGAAAATAAAAAATAGTCTTCACCAAATAGAAGGAAAAGGAGGAAAAGCCAAACTGAACATAAAAAGGGCGAAAAGGGTAGCCCTCACTTGCTGAGTGGATGGTCCAAAAAAAGTCCAAACTTTATAATTTACCACCAAAATGGTCTTCCCAAAAAGTTTAAAGTTCATGAGCTAAGGAAGTGAGACCCTCTGTTCAACATTCATGGCAGCGAGCCTTACAAGGATTGTAGTACAATCCTGCCCACTTCTATGATTGCTAGAAGACGCTTGTGCTGGTCAGCGAACCTGGGGCAAGCCCAAAAAGGCGCAAGTGGCAACAAGCTTAGGTCTAGCCACAAAATGAAAAGAGGTATGCCAAGTATGGCCATGACGCCTTTCTCCTCATCCCGGCTTCCGTTGGCGGCTGCCAACGCAGCGACCACTGCGGCCTTGTCTGACGTCACTTGGTTCTGGTACAGAACCTCGCCGGGCGCAAGGGGCGGAGCGTATCTCCATTCATAGGCTTCGTCCATGCCCATTGGTGCGGCATGTTGCCCATCCACTCAACTTAGGATTGATCTTGAAGACCGTACTTATGAAAAGGACTTCCTCTGAAATGGACCATGTTCCCACAAAGCAACCCCACGTTTGAAATTCCATCTTCTGGGATTCAATTCTGGGAGGTTCTTCATCCGACATGGAGAAAAAAAGAAGCTGGTGCAACGCAACTGGGCCACAAGATCTCGGAAATTCAGGTTCCTCCTGGTTCATAGAGAGGGTGTCCCATCCGATGGAATCCTAACATTGTTCGCGTGAAGCGCCATGCATCACAGCACAAATCCTGTCAACTCTCAGCTGAGCTGGGTATCAACATTCAGTAGAATCCTCCTGGCGTCATCGCGAAAAGCATGGACCTTTAAAGGGGGCAATCCCAAGCAACCCTTTAAGAAGGGGGCTTATCCACGGCTTCTCCCGGGCTTCTCCAGAAATAGCCCCCCCCCCATAGCCAGGGATGAGAAGACTTCCAAAAAGAGGACATCCCATAGAGATCCACTTTTGGGGAGCCCTAGAAGTCCGCCAGGTGAGCGAGTTCCCCAAGTTCCTGCGTGCTTCCTGGGGAAGAGACGAGTCCAAGAACACAAAGCCCAAAGGATAGCCACCGAACGTCACTTGACACCCGGTGATGTTCAAACAGTTTGGACTCCCGGGGCTTTACGCTTCTCCTGTCATTTACCAGGGCTGGGTTCACTTACTTCAAAAAAAGTCGACCGGGGAGTCCGGGGAGTTCCAAAACAAACAAAAAACGGGCCCCTGAAGGGGTGGGCCCCGCGAGCTCCGCGGAGACCTCGGGAACCCAGTTAGGATTGCCTAGGGAAGAACGCCAGGCACTTGCTGGCTCGAATCTTGAGAAACACCCACGAAGTAGCGGGAAGTCGCAAAAACAGGTAAACCTGCCGTTGTGTTTGTTGTACCTGCTTTCTGTTCAGGAGACTTCGACTTTTCTTGCCGGCCCTTTCCGAGTGACGGAAAGGTATCCGCGCCTAGGGGCTTTTCGAGGGGTTCTGGTGACCAACTTGGAGCATGTCACATCCGAAAGCGTGAGGTCAACTCAATGGGCCCCGGCAAAGAAAAGTCAGGTGGTTCATTGCACTGGGAACATTACTCGCCGCAACATCGCCATATATCCGTTTACAGCTATCCTCAAAAGCTACGTCGAACAACCACACGATCGAATTGCAAGGAGATCCTGTTCAGCTGGAAAGAGTTGAAGTGATCTTCCCCTGGCCCAAACTGCATCCTTTAAGGGACCCGTTTCAGACACAGACTAAACCTTGGGGCCCTTTGCGCCTGGAGTTCGGAGTAGTCGATGTCCATCAGACTCTCCGTCAGCTGCGAAAGCGCCGGAGAAGTCTTGCCCTGGCCCAGGTGCAGCCTGAGCACACGGAGCGGCCCGTGGTTGACGTTGGAAGGGGAGCAAAAATTGAGAAATTTTAGAAGTTGAGTGGGGATTTCAACCACTAAACCACAATGAGCAAAAATGTAAAAGGTTTCCCAACAACCATGAACGCTTCCAAGATCCAACAAATCAGCAGGTAGCTTCCAATTCTCCGTGCTCGAATTCCGAATTCAATTGAAATCCAGTCGGACGTGGAAGGTAGCGAAAACGAGTGATGGATGTCTCGAAGATTTTCGGAGGTCCAGAGAGTTACCTGAAAGATTCTTTCCAGATTTGGCCATGGGCCAAAAGCCCGTACCCCAGTGAAAATCCAACTCCCAACTAAAATACACTACAATGGGTGGTGCACCTACCCCAAAATGGTACCATTGTTTTTGACCCACAGCCATTTGAGGCAACAGGGGTCGCGTCCTTTTGGGCAAACAAGGCCACCCTTGCAAATCCAAGGCCTCCCCAAGTGTTTGACAAAGACCGAAGGGGCGATTTCCCCGCAAAAAAAAAAACGCGGCGAGGGTTTGCTTCAATGGATCAAGAGGCCGGGTGTCTTAAGGATTTTAAGTCCGATGTTTGGTACGATTTTGAGTCCGATTTTAAGCCCGATTTAAGGCCGGGTGTGAAGGCATGTCGGTCTCTCTCTCTCTCTCTCTCTGTCTCTCTCTGTCTCTCTCTGTCTCTCTCTCTCTCTCTCTGTCTCTCTCTCTGTCTCTCTCTCTCTCTCTCTCTCTCTCTCTCTCTCTCTCTCTGAATCTTCCCAGGTCGACTAATTGTCCCCTGTTCTTTTTGCCTGAGGCCTGGAAGAAATTATTTTGGCTTATCTGTTCGCAATACACCCCGCATTTTCCGTGGTCCCCCCCGACCCCCGCCCCCCCTCCCCGGCCAAACAAAAAGCGAAAACAAAAAACCGACCCCAGTCCCGCTTTTTCCCATGTTCGCCGGGCCGGGGCGACCGATGAAATCTTTGACTCCTGTCCGGAATACTCGGTTGACGTAAGGGGAGTATTTTCTCGCAGTTAAGTGGTTGGACCTCCCACTAAACCACAATAAGCAAAAATGTAACATGTCTTCCAACAACAACCATGAACAAGGGGGGCGGCTAGATCTTCTCATCACATTTCTTGGGTCTAACCAAGGGGAATGATGAGATATCCTGAACAAAGGGGCTTCTGCCCAAAAAGCCTTCCACTTTGAAGTCTCTGCTTCTTTTTGTCCAGGCTGGGAAACAAAAGGTTAAACGCTGCTTGACGGTCCAGCGTTTCGGGAAAACCCAACCCGCAGCCCCCAACCACTGCTTTCGGCAAACAAATCCCTTTTTTGGATTGAGCAGTTTGTTTTGAGAGCGGATTCCCCAGGGAACAAACAAGATGGCAACCTAGAATTGGGGTTTCCATATGTTGAGGCTGGTGTCATTCACATTGGCTGGGATCTGGGCATGCTGTAGCTCAAACCAGGAATCAGGGGGCCCCTCAATGCCCAAGCATAAGATGTTCACCTCCTCTTACCTCATACAAGTTGCCGTGGGATTGGTTTCATTTGTGGCTATCTTCAGATTCTGCTTCATGTTCGCCAGCTTTGCCTTCCCCCCCTCCTCCGCCGCACGCGGAAGCCCGGAGTCCAAGTGGCTTTCGCTTGCAGGGCAGGTCCTTAACTTTGAAGACACGCTGCACTTGTCCCATGTCCAAGAGCGGAACCTTGCCACCCACCTCAGAGCAAATGGGGCCGGTCAACGTCGATTCATATGCACATATGCGCGTAATACATATATATATATATATATTCATTTATTGATAATATAT